TTCCTCAGAAGCAGCAGGGAGAGATGCAGATTGATCCTCTCATTTGTCAGAATAGCACTGTAATACAGCCTTGTTTCTAGAAGATATAAAAATAAAGGAGAGTTGTGGGGGGCATATATTACTTGAGGTAGAGCTGCAGAAACAGCTAGGACACTGATGTCAGAGAATTAGTGTAGCCAGTTCTTCTTTGTCCCAGAAGACTGTGTTTCCCTAAATATTTCTGGAAGCTGCACTTGGCATTTAAAATCATTTAACTTAGATTTCTCTACTGCCCTTTTCCATGCCCAGCAGGATGGTTAAATACTTGCCACTGTTAGGATGGCACTCCACCTATTTACATGGAATACTCTCCCATTTGCAGGAGGGAAATGTTGTATATAGTATTTAACTGGAAAGAAAGCATAGCAAACACTAAAAATGAGATCCAATGAAGAGCGTAAGTCCTAATTAAAAGTTCCCATTGTCCTTCAGAGTATGGAAACCATGATTATTAAGTTTTAAGCCTAGTAAGGACCCATCTGTTTCCAGACTTCCTTAGAAACTGTGTTGCAAGGTCAAGGTGGAGCTAAAAGCAGCTGATGCCCTCCAGGTGTGGAGCTGTGAATTCTCATCAGCTGGCGGTGGTTGTTGGGTTGTTGCTCAGTACACTCTTTAAATGCCTGGGTGGTTGCTCTTCTGGAGCCCTTTTGCTCTGTGAGTTATATAGTAGAGGGTGAGGTAGTTTTCACTGGATGTTTTTCTTTGCTGATGCTTGTTAATGTTAGGGGAAAGTCTCTGTGGTTTTAGGCTGGTGTATGTTCGTGATGGATTACTGTAACAGTTATGAAACTTGAGTTGGTGATTTTCCCCCACCTCCTTCCCAGTGTTTGTCTCTGTTGCAGACCCCAATCACCACAGACCTTATCAGTTCCTTGGGAAATGGAATTCTTTTCTCATCCTGGGGAGCCTGTAGCAGGTTGCTAACCTCAGCGTGGTCCAGTGTGTGCCTAGCACTGGGTGACCGGGTAAGTAGGATGTTGGCAGTTTGCCAGCTATGATCTCTGGTATAGTGTGGAGAGCCATTTGCAGCTGGCAGGTTGCCTTGACATCTATTTTAGCATGTTAGGCTGTGCTTTTTATGACCCTGTGACACCTACATCCCTGGCTGAGAGGTTACTTTAAATTTACAGAAGTGATCAAATTATATTCTGAAGAAATGTACACTCATTATGAAGAGTGACAGTCCCAGCTTGTGTAAAATAGTTCTGCTGAAGGCAATGTAATTATCCCAATTTACATTAGCTAAGAACCTAGGCTGAATTTTCTGGTGCTGCAGCTTTTTTTGATGGTCAGCTGAGGCATGGGCCAGCCAGAAGAGAACTGGAAATAGCTGTGAGAAGTAGCATTCTTTTAATAATTGCAAATATGTTAGCGAGTAAAGGACAAACTTCCTGTAATTTACCGTGTTTTTGGCAAAGTACTCCTTGCTAGTAACTGAGACATTATTTGCAGTATTGTAAATATGTGAAGATGGAGCCCTGGGATGTTTCATGGCTAAACAAAACAAAAAAACCTGGAAAAGAAAGAAGGAGGGGGGAGAGGAGAAGAAAATTGGCAACTTGATAATGAGGTAAGTTGCAAATGGTGAACATTTCTGTAATTTCCGTGGCTCCGTCTCTCTAGAAAACTGCACAATATGAGTGTCTCTAACCTTGAGGTTATTGAACCCTCATTATTCAAACCATCTGCATAGGCAAGAAAAATTAGGTTTAGATCCTATGCTGGAGAGATGATCTGTTGTAACCAGGCTCTTGAATATTCTAGGTCTACGTTTCACTCCTGAGGGGCCTCTGCTTAGACTTTCTGCTCCATTGAGCAGAAGTACAACTCTTTTGCTGCTCATGAAACCTTTATCCATATCTGATTTAGTTCTGTCTTTGTAAGATTGAGCCTGCCAATTCCTGTGTTCAGTAAAGGCTCATAAGTCTCTTTCTATCTGATGGAATGTTTTTGTTTTTCAAGGAAAGGGAAGAAAAAACATAAAAGATTACCATTAGAGAATGAGGGGTTGCTGGTGTGGTTCTTCAGTTCCTTCCTGTAAATAGGTGTGTCAAAAGAAAAAAGTAAATAAATACTTACACACTTATTTATGTGTATGTATATATGTGTATGCATCTACTAAAAAATGCTAGTTCTTTTTACTCTATCAAGATTGTAAAGCTGAGGTGGTCACAGATTGCCTTTGAAAAATCTCATCCATAGGGAGTTTCATTCTGTATTTAAAAAAATAAAGAATCCAGCTGGTGTGGAGGTTTGTTGATGTGTGTGGAGACAGCCTGTGTTGTCTATAAGGCATCTAGCACTGACTGTAAGTATTGTGTTTGGCCTGTTTGTAATGATGCAGCTTGCATACCCTCATTGATCAAGAAATAGACTTGATGTGTAAGATGCAGCTTGCACTTGCTGATCTGCCGAGCATGCTTGGCCACAGTGGTAGCGGAGTTGCTGTTGGGATGGTGGGTGGCAGCTGTTCTGCCCTAGCAACAGAAATATCTGCCTTTTGGGAAATGAGGAATACTTCCTGGCTGTGAAGACCAAGTAC